ATGCCCTAAGAACAAGAGTTAATATGACACTGATTTGGTTAAGTTTGACTTGATTTCCAGGGAATTAAGTTGCATATGGAAAATTAGTCCTTTAAATTTTAAAGTCGGAAGTCAGAACTCTGAAGTCAGAACTTAGAGGTCAGAAGCTGGAACTCAGAACTTGCAAATCAGAACTCAGAAGTTGGAAGTCAGAACTCAGAAGTCCTTCCTCAGCTTTTGTAGTCTGAATTTATTCAGCTTTTCAAAAAAAAAAATCCCAACTTAGGAGAACCATGCTTCTATAATTTCCAGCTCTACATCAATAGAAAAATAATTCACACCCAGATGCAATGGCAAGCAAACAGCTGCTATATTCTGTAGTTGTAGATTATAAAAAATTGCGTTTGAGTAGTTAATAATTTGTTAAATATTTAGTTTGATTTGTTGACTCTTAATCCCAAGGACTGTTTAATTCCTAACTTATCTCTTTGTTTTGACTCCAACTTGTAGGAAGGTTGAGAGTGAATGACTTAATGATGTTGAGGAAACAAATTTCACTTAGGGTGGCTTACTCTATTTTCCCATAGTTTAGAAGTGCAGAAGACATCATTGATATAGTATTGCTGTCTGCCACTGTCAATATCAGTTATGAAAGGAAGCACTATACACCTACTACGCAAAAAAGAACCAGAACTGGATCGTGTTAAATAAATTTTGCTACCTTATGCTTTCATATCTTATAATTTGCTCTTATGTGGTTACTTGTGATTCATTAATTTCCATACATCTCACAGTTTTTTCCATTTCACCTTGAATCTTTTCTTTCATTACTTCCAGTTCTCTAGCAACACTATATGTAGATTTTTGACTTGGCTAATTGTATGAGACATTGTTTTTGCTAATAATTGAATTAATGCAACAATACATACTACAAGAGCCAACAAGCAACCTTGTATAAGACGGTGACCAACTTGAAAGTAAATAAGTTATCACATTGGTCACTGAGCACATCTTTGAATAGTGCATGTAAATGAGCACCCTATACAAACCTTCCTTCCTTCAGTCAATCAATCAATCAATCAATCAATCAATCAATCAATCAATCAATCAATCAATCTATCTATCTATCTATCAATCATTCATTCATTAATAAATAAATAAATTTGTATTTTGAACACTCTATCTTTTCAACGTCACATACTTATAAGGATATTACAAGACATCTTTTATAAACAGTGTGCAAAAAACCCCTGAAAATTTGTGCTTACAGTGTACTCTCAGTAAGTGGGGTCACTTAAACAAAACTGGCAGATTAGATCGCAGAATGCAAACAAAATCCAACTAAAGTTGCTTGGATCAACAAAAAAACAGATTTAGAACTTTGTCACTTTGTCAGATCACAATACTCACTGCAACAAGGTCAGAATTTTAGTGTCATGCCTTTTGCTTGCGTCAATGCCACATCAGTTAGGACTGCCAAATTAGACGAGGTTGTAGGCCTAGTCCAATTTGGCAGTCAGAGGAATTTTTCTCATCCAATTATTTCCAAATTGGACAGCATGTAGTCCTATTACATAAACAAAAAGTTTGAAGACTGCACTGTAGAAGCTTTGTGTAACATGATGTTGCACAGCAATATTGGAATAGAGATAAGATAAGGTGGATGTAGTCATTGCACCACAAACAGGCCCATTGACCAACATTTTCCCACTTATATCATTCTTTTAGGAAGATTTAGCCCTACAGAAGAATACTTCTAGGTATTTCTTCTACGTAGTACATGCCTGAATTTGTAGAAAAATTGGATTGCAACATGAAATAACCAAAATTTCTCTGATTTAGATTATTTCCCCTAAAATTAAGAGCAACAGTAAAAGGAGTGAGCTAAAAAAGGATCACCTAATATTTAAAAGAGTAAACTGCAGGTAAAGATTATGTATCTGGTACCAATGCTTTACTTGCTTGCATGTTCTACCTAAGTATTTGTGCTCCATGCATGATTTCATGTCCTTTTTTTTTTGGACATGAGTTAGTCCAGGACGGGAAAAAATTTTGAAACCCACTTGCCCAGTGGGCTGGTACATTTCAGTTTTCAGTTGCCCTCACTAAAATATTACTTGCCCAAAGGCGTGCAACAAACGCGAGCACAGTATACTTGGATTTTAAATTTATCCATGCTTTCAACTCACTGTTTTGTTCATGTTGCAATCATAAGTTGATTGAAATTATCACTAACAAGATTACTGAGGCTAATTTCACTTGCCCACTGGACCATCAAACTTCCATTTTCACTTGCCCAAGAGCATTTAATTCACTTGGCCCGGGCAATCAGACCTGGGCTTTTTCCTACCCTGGTTAAATAGCACAGTAAAGATGTACAGATTAAATAAGTGCAAATCTGATTATTTAAAATGTCTCATGACAGAGTGAAACTAAAATAACCTATTGCTAACGTGTCTGGGACATAATACAAGCAATAACAAGCACAGATCTTCACAGCAAATCGCTGCTTTTACCATCACTGACCTAAAAGCTCTCCAAGCAAATCCAAGTTAGGTATTGATCCAGTGTATGTGGTTTCTAAATTCCCTTGATTAATAGCAGACTGCTCCAGAAGAGAGGTAAATGAGGGTGCTTTATCCAGTGCACTGAGTGGTGAATGTGCACCAAAATGTGTCTCACTGCTTGCTGCTGGGACAGATGTTCCACTTGAAACAGAATAACTGCTCTCAGAAGTCACCTTTCTTGTACTATTTGAAGTTTGAAATTCATCTCCATGTGGCAAAACCGATATAGACTGTTGCTGGTGAGGAACATTGCCTCTATACACAATGGAGGAACTCTGTGACCTTGCAACACCAGAGTTTAAATCACCATTTGCTGACGGGGGCCTTCCAGTTAAAAGAGGTGCTGTTTGCATAGTAGTAGAAGAAGGCAAAATCATGTTAGGATTAGTTAAGAAGGTGTCTCTGTCACCTTGAGTATTTTGGGAAGGATTTTGCAAAACGCCTCTCAGAAGACTGGCTTGACTAGATCCCAAATTGTGTTGCATACCACGTGCAAAATTTTCTAAAGGTTGGTTATTACTACGGTAATAAATTGGAAAAGAGTTTCGCCTTTGATAATGGTAAGTACTTGTTAGGTCTACAGCATTTGCAAAGCCAGGCATGTCTCCTTGGAAGCCACCTCCTTGCTGTTGGTATGGTGAATCAGAGTTTTGGAATGCTTGACCCTGTAAAGGCGGCATTGAGCTTTGACGCTGATATTGTGCTTGTGACCTAGGCATTGGGTACCTTGCTAAATCATGTGAAGGTAGTGGTCTAACTAATCCTGTTCCCTGTGATGTAGGCAGAACAGGCTGACTTGGAAATCTCTGAGAATATAGCTGTTGAAGTTGTGATGGCATGTGGGTTAGTTTTGAAGATGGCAAACTTTCCTGAGAAAAGCCATAAAAAGGTGGTTGTTGTTTTTGTTGGTGGTGTCGCTGCTGTTGCTGCATCAACTGTGACTGTGATGAGAGAACCCTTTGATACTGCAAAGATTCAAATTGCCTATGGTGGTTTTGGTCTTGCAGTATTTGTTGTTGGTCATTTGAAATCACTGACATACCTTCAGGATACTTGCCAGTTGAGTAAGGATGTTGTATGCTGGGGGACTCCTGGCCTGCTGGGCCTAAGGTATACTGCGTTGTATGCTGTCGTTGATATTGTGGGTTTGGTCTATCTTGGCTGTCCATGAATGGCATAACTTGCTGAGCATGAGCAAGTTGTGACTTTCGGGCAATCTCTTTCAGCTGAAGAGATTGTGGATGGTGACTTCCCTGTTGAGTTACTGGCACCTGATTTCTATTATCGTCAACACTAGGCATAGAAGCTCTTTCAGTAGCGGTTTGATGATAAATTGGCTGTGGAGTCGCAGGTGCACTATCCTCGTTAAAGCGTTTGATAACGTTTTCAAAATGGATGAGCTCTTGTCGAATGTACTCTTCACCTGCTGGTAATCCGTTGACCACAGCCCCTGAACCATTATTAGAATGTGTGGGTTCATCGCACGAACCAATTACAGCTTTCTCCTGTTTAAAATCTGGAGTTGCCAACGAAGAGGATGACAATCCCTGACCTCTACTGGCGTAAGTCTCTGAGCCGATTGTGGTCGGTATTCTGGATGCATTTCTCGAACCATCGTGGACGAACGAATTATTACCCAAGTGAAAAGGAGACTGATGCACTTGCGTTGAGGTATGATCGACCTGATGCGGCTGATTAACCGAAACGACTGCGTTGGGACCTTCTGCTGATTGAGTCTGTAGAAGTAAACCACCGTCTTGTCTCTGAAACTTGGCACACTCCCCTCCAAGGTTGTCGTCATTCGATGGTACGTACGAATTCTGTGCACTGTTCATATTCTGCTCGTGTTTCCTCTTTTTCAATAAGATTTGCTGCTGGCAAGACGAGAGAAAAATAAGTCAGTTCAAGATATGGAAAGTCACACGTGTTTTACGCGAAACCGCCTGTGCATAAACTAAACAATTGGGTACCGTTAACAACAGACTATAATAAACGTCGATCAAAACGTCCGTTGAAATCGATTCTACACAAAAAAAATCCTTTCGTGCAACAAAGAAAGCATACCTCGCGTATCTGGAAAATAGCGTTCGTCGACTTTTCGAGCCCATTTGGCGTTTGCTGTTGCTGTTCTACTTTGCCTTCGCCGTCATTTTGTTTTGATGCCTTCCCGTTCATATTCATCATTCTATTGCGGCATTCTAGAGCACGCTTGTGCAAATTCGATGCCTCTTGTCTCTCCAAGTCCTGGACAGCTGGCAGCGACTGCGCATATTTATTCTGGCAATCATAATGATGCTTTCTGTACTGGCTGAAACGTTGGCGTAATCTATCCATTACAGCTTGGTGCGTAGGATGTCGTGGTGAAGTCATTCCAGTACCAGGTCGAGAGCCTGTTTCGTTCATCTTTGTAGAATTTAATTTATTCCCTAAACTTCATGCCATGGAACAGATCGAAACGCCGATATGGCTTCTGCCGAGCGCTTTCGTATTTCCAAAGATCACTTCAACCAAATGAAGGATTCTCTGTGCGTGAAAACTTGTTCACCAGAGCATTCCAAGAACACTCGCCGACAGTCAGCCATGTTCTTCCGATGACAGCAATCCTCCAGCAGAGGTCGTGACGTCACAAGGGTTTCTCAAAAAAGACTCGTCGTCTGTCATCATTTACCGTCAACACTGCACCGTGTTTGAAACTAGTGTCGGTGGAGGAGAGAAAAGCAAAGGAGTTGATCCAATTCAAGCAGGTCTCCTTTATGCCTTTTTCACTCTTCATATTCTGCCGAAGGATATTACGAATAAGACATTCTGATTGCCCGCTGACAACCAAAATAACATCAAAAGTGAACTTCTGGCTTCTCTAGATATATTCGCAGCATCCTTGTCATGCAGTTGATATTTGATTGGCTGTTTTTATTCGTCGAGTTAATATGGAGCTCTATATGTGAGTTCGTATGGTGATATATAGTTAAATACTCTGAAAACAATCTCCGCTTTTCCCTTACAAAGCGAAAATAAAGTCATTAAAGCCTTACCTGGTATCCTTTTCTCATCGTTCTAGCTCTACTGTATGCCATTTGAGCAATTTTGGTTTAACCTTTTAGTGTTTTTAACACGCATACTAAAGGCGAGTGTCTCGTCTCTAGTGCGAATTTCAAATCCATATACAAACTCCTCCAGACATTTCTAGAGCTCTCTACAAACTCAAAAACTCTCTACAAAATTTACAAGTGCCAGGGGCCCCCCCTCTGCCAACTGCTTGATGCTGTTCATACTCAGCAACTGGTAACTCATTTAGGAACTGTAATTTCAAAATCTTGCTTGTTCGACAAGTCATCTGTCGTTATCTCAATTTGATTGTCTTTTAAATTGCTTGCGCTTTTGTGTTACCAATAGTATTAAGAAAATTATGTTTGTTTCGTGGCGGGGGCGGGGGGAGGAAGGTAAATTTTTTTTCTTGCGGCATAATAACGGCCCAGCATAATTCCGTATTTGATGTGACATTATATTTTATCATTAAAATGGGCTAACTTACTAAAACTAAAACTAAACTAAGATACATCATTGAATTTGTTAAAATAACTATATAACACATGTACCAAGAAGATAAAAACGGCGGGTGAAACTAAAATCGATTAAGACTATGTAAGTGTCATACGATATTCTAAAGAACAGCGTATGACACTTACATAGTGTCTCTTTCGAAGAGGGCTGAAAACAAAATCGCTTACACATGTATGTCATGTATTGCGTACAGAAACTCTAGAACGACAGTAAAAGGATACCAGTGTATCTTTTTAAAGGAAAAGCAGAGAAAGATGGGGGGGGGGGGAATTTTATTTTATTTTTAAAACTTTATTTCTTTTATTTATTTCTATTTATTTATTTTGTCCCCTTTTGATGGTCTGTTTTTATATGGGGTTTTGACTCCTTTACAGATCGTCCATATGGCTTTTTTTATTCTTTGTAGTAGTCATTAGTAAATCGCAATAAATAAAGTTTTCAATTTTTGATCGAATTTCAAATCCAAACTAGTCACTACCTTATTACATGAAATTTTCGCGATACATTAATTTCGCGAATATCACGATTTAAAAAAAAAATCGCCAAATTGTAAAGTGACGCGAACAATAAGTGTCGCGAACATAACATGACGCGAAATTTAAGTGACTCAGATTATGTTACTGTTAACACACAGTCCCGCCGTTGCGTTTTTGTTAATTTTGACGGTATTGTACCTTTGATGAAGTCGGTTTACTAAATTCAAGGACATATTTAGGTAACATTGCCAAGGAACTACAAGGAAAACGCGAAGTTCAAGTGATTCAAAACACAAAATTTCGCAAAATCGCGGAATTTAAGTGTCGCGAAATATGCGCACATCGAGAGTATCATACAAACTTTTTGGAAAAGTGGAGAAGACCCTGGGGACAAGGTTGAGAAAATTGAAAGAAATACCCAGAATGCATTGGTCAGTCTTTCTCATTTCAGTGATGTTCCTTCCGGTTCGTCTTTACCTGTTGTTGCTCTTTTGATGTTCCTTCAAGGTTATGCGACATGGTAACTGGAATAGCAAGTATATCGCTATATACGTAACTGGAACCAATAAAAACTGGGCATTATGTACTTCGATCAGGGAGAGCAAAGGGAGCTCAAAGTTTCTGTTATGTGGAAACGAGCCCAAGGAAGAAAGAAAGTCCTTACATCTGTCAACTGGAAAGAACGTGTTTTTGTTCTAACACCTAAAACTCTCAATTATTTTGAGGGAAGTTGTGAGGTAAGCCTGGGAAAATGTATTGTGAATTCGTTATCCGCAAGAAGTAACAGTGCGATGCAGTGTAAAATGTCATTTTGTGTATAGATGTTTGTTTTGTTGCAAGTATATTGTAATGGAACCTTTCCTGCTGACAGAAATTCGCAGTTAAGCTTTCATGTTTGATTTTTTAAAAGAGGATTCTAACTCAATGTAAGCTATAAAACGTGAGCTGCTAGAGCAGGTTTTTTTCTCTCAGAAATAGATAGTTTCGAAACTCTGCTTTTTCGTAATTAATTTAAAGTATGTGTTGGTTAGGGACGACCATGATTGATTTTAAGGAAATAGAGAACTTGCTGACTGTGTGTCAGTAAATGAAGTTATATTCACACGAGTGGAAGGCTTGGTATAACAGTGTTTTCATATTGCTCGGTTATTCATAACTCCATGGTAACACAACCATGTAAATTACCTTTCAAAAATGTGTAAGTGTGAGGCCTTATAACTATATAAATTGTTGATCAAAAGAATTTTTTTTTCATCATGAAAGCTGTGGACATTGGGGTGAAATTTCTGGTATCCAGGATAGAGTACATAACTGGATAGTCCAGGTTAATCTTCGTTTCACGACCAGAAGTAATTAATGGGTGTCTTGTTTCGGTTAAAGGAGTAGGTCACTCCAAAAACTGTGTATTTTTTCCATCACCAATAAAAAGTTCACATTGAGTTGCGTTACTCACCGTTGTTTTAGCTTCTGAAGTGGATGCGATCCCAATGAAAAAGAAGTGAAAAGTTCAACACTGGGAGCTGCCATTTTGAAAGGATCTTGAAGGCCAGGCCACATATC